GATCAGAGAAGAAGACAACAGCAGCCTCAGTCTGTCACTGAGACAGACCCAACACAGCAGACGCTATCAAGGACATGTGAATACTTCTTCTTTACACATATTATAGCACTCTCCTTAGTTTGTCAAGTGTAGGCAGGGATTACATTTAGATTTTATATGCTCGTGTAAATGGTTTAAAAATTCCTTTCTTCATAAATCTCGTTAAATCTTAAAAGTGCATTACTATATTTTTCAAGACCAATTACTTGGTAAGGTTTTGTGCCTTTGTACAGTCAGTGGGATTAGTTGCAATGCATATATGTGAATGATAAAAGTACATTGCACATTTGTCTAAGGAAACCTTAGGTGCTTCATGAAATGTTTTGTAAAAGATGTTCATTGAATTTCAACATTTTCCTAGTGTTCTTGTGCATCTTTAGACCAAAACAAAGCAAAGACATATTATTTTGGTTATTTATAGCAGAGTATGGTTTAATTTTTAATGGTCCGGCCAACTTGACATCTACCGAGGCCGTTTGTGGCCCACAATGTGAAATGAGTTTGACACACCTGGCCAAGAAAGCAAAATGACAAAACGACACGATCTCTTTGTGCAACTCGTCTTACTATACACGGTGCGTTTGTGGGAATAGTTTTGAAACAAATCTGCCCCCCCCCCCGATGTGAAGCCATCACACTTCCAGCTTTGGTGTCACCGTCACCGATGCCATGCAAGGTTCGGCAAGCATCTTAACATTAGGATGTACGGTCGTTACTATAATTATGATGACAGTGTAGGGTGTGGAAAACATACAGAATAGTATTCAAGTCAAACGCTGTTTGCGATTGCTTTTTGATTGACAGCTGAGGTCTACTTGTCTGCGGTGTGCTCGCTCACTGCCCCCTTTGCTGACGTTGTTTTTTACGTTGAGTCACAACAACATAATTAAAGGAGCAACGTGTCGTAATAACTCTCCCCAATTGTATACATCTGTACACTCAGAGATAAACTGCGAAGTCAGTTTAAAATGTGAAAATTACTCAGAGAACAGGGCTTGTGGACAGCGGAAAACTTGCTCCTTGAACTGAATGTGGTACAGTTCTTGTGCTTGGTACTTATTCTTCTTCTTGGTGAATTGGATGTCTTTAGTTCATATCGCCCCCTACTGTCCGGGAAACCACAAAGGCGTTTGGCAAGCAATCTGAATCTAATTTACAGTACAAGCCAAGCGTGCAAAAACACAAAACACTAAATTAGGTCATATCTTGAAGAACCACAGATTTCAAGGGCAGCTGATCCACTGAGCTGGTGGAAATACCGAGCTTCCGTCTACCCCGTTTGATCGAAGTAATGGAGAGTAGATTGTGCATTGTAGCAACATCTGTCCCGTCAGAGAGGGTGTTCTCAAAGACTGGACAAATTGAAGTATTCCAAGTTGAAGTATTTAGTTTTGTTGACTGCAAATTTAAAATAAAGCAAGGACTAGCTTATGTTTGTTAAAATAAAGCAAGGAGTATCTTATGTTTGTTTTGTTCACTGCTGCCGTTGCAGTTAATACTCACTATTTTTGTTATGATGCAGCATGTTTGATTGTTGTTGGTTGAAGTTTAATTTTGTTGCTTGTTTATTGTTTGGAGCCATTTTAATGTTCGATAAAATAAGTAAAAAGTCATTTCTTTGCTTGATAATTGTTGCTATTTGCAGTCAGTAGAGTGCAACATTTAGTTCGCCAAGTCATTTTTCAAAATGTATGCTAAATTTGTCATAAATATTTAAAAGAAAAGCGAAAGCTAAAAGAGCCGTTTGAGAGCCAAAAAGAGCCGGCTCTTTCCACTGAGCCGATCCAAATGAACCGGATCACCGAAAAGAGCCGAAAATCCCGTCACTAATAGGAATCACGCAATATTAACTTGTTTCCTTTTTGTTCCGCCCGTGGTTGAAAACTGGCCAATAAGACCATGTCAGGCTTCACAGTCACATGTCTATGAAATTTCTCATTGGAAAACATTTGAACGGTGGCTCACGTTACTAATGTCAATATACATTTGCTTGATATATTATAACAGCATCTCTTCTGATATCTGTGAACTGTTGACAACTGCACCATGGTTTTCTTGCAAATGAAAATAAATAAATCAATAAATAATGTTTGAGGACGACAAATGAAACAGCAACAGTTCTTCGCAACATATGATTTATTTTCAACAATAGCAAAGTCATCTCACAGAGACTACTTTGAATTACACAGAATACAAATAAATATAGATGTATATATATATTGGGCCATAGTATAATTTAGGACTTAACAATTGTGACAAAGTTTACACTGAATAGTGCAAAAACCATATATATATATAATAGATACTGTATATAGATATAATGCGCATAGTGGCCAACAACGCAACAGAACTACCTTTGCAATGACAATGTAGGACACCAACCCACTTTAACGTGTGTTCTCAGTTCTAGCAGGAATACATGGACCAAGTACGAAATCTTATCGTGCACAATTTTAAGACCCGTTGCAGGCACCCACCCCCTCAAAAAAAAAGTTTCCGGAGCACTGCCGAGGTACCCTTCAGCAATGCATCAGCCCCAAAAATTGTGGCCGCACATTCACGTGACACAGAAGGGATAATTTTCACTCAATGATGTCAATAAATAAACAAAAAGATAACGTTTTAAAGAGAGACGCATACACCAAATGGACTGCAAGTCTTTAATAACAAAAAGAAACCCATACAAAAGTATATGTACATGGTTACTTACTGAACCACCTTGCAGTCTATGGAAATTATCTTAACATGGTTCATTTTGTCATTTTACACACAATACCTCCTAAACGTCCATTGGGACAAAACTGGAGCTGAAATGAAACGTGGGCTGCCAGTGGGACATCTTTACACTGCCAATGTCCACATTGAGGACCAACACATTGGTTGTGATATCATTTATAACATACAGTATTTTTAATTTAGGGGCTAGAACACAAACCTTTTAGTTGATCTGAAAAATAAAATACAAAATATTCGTTGGACATAAATAAACGTGTTTTTTTTTTCTGCATACTAGTGCAAGAAAGTATTCCGATCACTGAGATGAAAATCCTCGATGAATGAATGGAGATACAGGTACTTAATGTCACACTTGCAATTGAGCCCGAGTGAGATACTCCAACTGATTACAGACATGTCGAACCACAACATTTAATGTCTACTAAATACGAATCAGTGTATTTCACTATCAATGTCAACACTGGGGAAGAATGACATTTAAAAAAAAAAAAAAAAAAAAAGACAATCATGATGGTCCAGGGGAGGTTATCAGCGGGCAGGTTGCCATGTGGATGGGGATGAAAGCTAATTCCAGTCACGACCTCCCTTTTGTTTGAAGATTATTGGCGGGACAGTGATTTGTGTGCCTGTTTATGTGAACAACTACCTAGCATGCACGCATACAAATGCCCACACGCCCGTCACCGCTGCCATGCAAGGTTTGGCAAGCATCTTAACATTAGCATGTTCTGTCGTTGCTATAATTATGATGGCAGTGTAGTAGGGTGGACACTAAGGATGGGTGTTGTACTAAATATTTTGATCAACTATAAATAATGGTGATTTTTTTTTTTTAATATATAATTGGTTGGGTGAACCTCTTTCAGAATGTTCTTAACTCCTATTTCCTACAAGTGTTGTAATGAGTGGAATAATGCTTTGCTGGTTGCCCCAATGCTATGCATTTTTTTTTTTTTTTGCCACAATTGGTCAAAGATGCAATTAACAATGAATTCCACGAGTGAGATCAAAAACAGGGTATGTGCCGATGGTTTGACCATTCAAGAGTAATAACAGTGAAGCGTGCAAAAACCTGTTTGGTGGAAGTTAAACCTGAGGTATGATAGTATGAAAAGTAGGTTGTTGTGAGTTTCTGCAGTGAACGATTGTTCAGGATCGCAACTGCTATCGCTCACTGGATGAGTGCATGTCTCTCGTGAACGAGATGTGAATGGTGCTTTTTATACAAAACACTCGTTCATAGAAGATATGGTTCATACTGAGGTCCAATATTTTATGAATATAATGGATTGAATGATCAGTATTATTGGTTCCATTGTTAAAATATATTAATGCCAGCTCTCAAAAAAAAAAAAAAAAAAAAAGGCTAGCTGTCCCGATACTTGCACGTGTAACTGCATTTCATTTTAAAATATGCATTGGAATTTTTTTATAGTAAGTGCAAATCGGTCGTTATTCCAGAATAGCTCCATCATTGTCCTCTCACTTCACATCCCTGCCTTATTTGTGACCAAAATCCTTGTGCAAATTTTTCTTTTTCTTATGCCTGCCTTCCTCCTCCAGTCACCTGCCTCACTTGTCCGAGTTTTTGCGAGGTCGTCGGAAGCTGGACATGTTCTCATTCAGGGCGCAGATGCGTCTGGAGAACTCCTCAAAGCCAGCGACATCCAACTCCCCCAGAACCTGCTCATCACATTCCACAGCTATCGCTTGGTCCACTGGGATGCAGCGGTAGTCTTCCATCCTGGTCTCCTCCGTGAGCTCTAAACCCACCCGTAGACCAATTCCCAGGCCCAAGTTGGTAGCCTCGGTCCCCATGATCTCCTCGGCTTGCTCCACTGAGCAGCACGGACCGGGACTTGGAATCAAGCACGTTACCGGTCCTGGCACCAGAGAGCCGTTCATGACGCCTGCATGCTGACTTGCGGCCACTGGATCCTCACCGGTGCCCCCTAGTGGAGAAGAGCTGCGAGGCTTTTGCTCCTCCGTCTGATCATTGTGGACTTTCAATTCTCTGTCAGTGCTGTTGTGTATCTCCACCTCGGCGGCTGCACCGCTACCCTCCTCGATCGGTTTTCCCTCCTCTTTGGCTTCAGTGGGCTCGGTGAGGTCAAGTGAGGCCATGTTGGCATCCAGGGAGGAAGACAAGAGTTTAGGCGGAGATGATTGCATTGTTTGGGCTATGGTGGCTGGCTCCTCCCCTACGGCGGTGCCATAACTGGGCGGAGGTTTCGTCTTGTACTTGTCAGCCTCGGAACTCGCTCTCTTCCTCAGGCCCCGGTCTGGGGAGCTGGTGTGCGGTGGGTAGGTGACTTCTGAGGCGGTAGGCACGCCGAGGTGAGACTTGGCTGGTACTGGGATGGAGCTGGAGACATGGTGTCGGTCACTGTGGAGGAATGGAAACGCACCAAATCAGCAATCGTGCACAATTCTTTTTCTACTTAGCAATTTACAAGATGCCCAAATTAAAAAAAAAAAAACATTAAAAAATCTATTCTGTTCCTGAGCCAGGGTAACTATAGCTACAGCTCTCTGGAAAGCACTCCACTTTCCAACATTTGTGAGCCTGCACTTTCGCTGTCATCCACAAGTGCACAGCAGGCGCTCACCAAAGTATGCCAGACATTTTCCGCTGTAACAGATAACAGACCCGCAATCTGAAACAGCCCACCTCGCCCGAGTAGTGAAGCCATAAATTAACTTAAATGGGCCCTCCCTTTTCTGATAGGCATAGACATTTATAATACACACAGACTCCTTATTCGTACCATTCTGCTAGCTCTTAAGTGGGTTCAGAGGTGAAAAAGATTCTCTTTGTGCTCTCAGAAGATTCATGTTTGCTACTGAATTGCCTCACTGTTTTCATTTGGAAATGTCCGACAGAAATTGTCAAGTAATGCGTTGAATGTGTACTTGTCTGGCGAATGGTTCCACCATCAAACACATGGTAGACTATTTCAAAAGGGCCCCTGATATTGACCTTGAAACCCCACTGAAGAGGCTGTGACATGCAGAACAATTGTGAAGAAGCATTAGAAATGCACGTCCACTTCTCTGACGGACTTGTCAAACATCAAAGTGCCTATGATACAGTAACATGGAAACCAAGGCAGTCAGAAAGCTAACAACAACAACAAAACTAACTGTAACTACACCTTACGTTTATAACACCAATTGTAAAAAGCTTGTTTCACTTCTGTTTATACAAGTACTTGCATGAGCATTTAAGAAAGAAGAAAATATTATACGATTTTACGTAGAGTTGAGGTTCGTTACGAGAATGGAGTGTTGTATGTCATTTCTGAAAATCAACTTTGGAGGTCCCATTGTATGAAAAATGAACACTAAACATTCAAATCCCATCTCAAAACCCACCTATTCAAAATTGCATACTCAATTTAAATTTATCTCTTCTGTTATTATTTTATCTGTGGTTTTATTGTTCTTTGTTTTGTCCTTGATTGTTAAGTGTCCTTGAGTGTTGTGTAATGCGCTAATAAATAAAATGAATTATTGTCGTTATAATGCTCCAAGTTCAATGACCACATTGGAACATTTTAATGACCTGAGATCTCATTAAATGTATTTTGATGAACGTGAACATATATGTATATACATATAAGATAAGATATCCTTTATTTGTCCCACACTGGGGAAATTTACAGTCTACAGCAGCAAGATTGTGGGTAGAAAGAAGAAAAACAAAGTGTATGCATTCACAAATTCAGAAATGTGAAAAAAATATACACATACTTAGAATTTTGATTTGTCATTGGGAGGAGTTATGTTTAAGTTTTTGTGTGATACAGTATGTCCATCCATCCATCCATCCATCCATTTTCTGATCCGCCTATCCCAGCTGTTTTCGGGAAGCGGGCGGGAGACACCGTGAACCGGTTGCCAGCCAATCGCAGGGCACATACCGACAAACATTCGCGCTCACACTGACACCTAGGGACAATTTAGAGTGTTCCATTAACCTGCCATGCATGTTTTTTGGAATGTGGGAGGAAACCGGAGTACCCGGAGAAAACCCACTTGGGCAAGGGGAGCACCAGCAAACTCTACACAGGAAAGCCAGAGCCCCGAATCTACCGTGTACTTCTGTACTGTGAAGCAGATGTGCTAACCAGTCAACCACCGTGATTTGAACTTAAGCAGGCAATGGTGACAACATTCTTGGCAACCAAATTAGATGATTAAGGCTTGGTGGTGAGCAAAGATTGCGGCTGGAAAACGGTGTCCAATTTAGGTATCGTATAGTTCATTTGGGAGGTTTAAAGTTCTTGGCAAGCATTTTTAACCGGAATGAAACAAACTATAAATTCCTTCATAAGGCAGTTTTATCAGGCAGGCCAAAGAATTCTCATCGATAAGGACTTGGTTTTTGGTTCAAATTTTGAGATTTTAGTCCGCAAGGCACTGGATATAACCCCTTGTTAGTAGCTTCATCTACTTTGCTTGCAGTTTTCAATACCTGTGATCAGAGTTCCAGCGGGGCAGTGTGAAGGCTTTTTAATGGCCAACATGTGTTTATTGCGGCAGGAGCAGAAAGTTTTGATTGAGCAGATGACATGGGAATTAGTATTGAATTTTGTGCCTGTTCTGGTTGTCTCACCCACGCGTGTACGCAACAGCACACACGCACACCAAGCAGGATGCATGCTTTGATCTCATCTATCTTTGGGCTCTTCCACTTCCCATTAGGAGGTAATCAGAGGAAGGGCCATTTGAGAGCGCCGACTTTTGAGGGCTTCTCTTCTTTCAAAACAAAAGATTATTCAATGAATGTGTGTAAAACACATTTGAGGTCCCGTGGAGAGAAGCGGAGATGAAAGACAGCTTTGTGCTTTGTGGGGCCGTGGATTTGGAAAAAAAAAAAAAAAAGAACAAAAAAAACCTCATTTAAGCGTTAACACCAAGCCAAAAATTCAAGATGGTGGTTGGGGCATATGATGACATGGCTCATTTCAGTTTTGGATTGAATATTTTAACGACATGTATGCAGTCAAGCACCACTTGGTCTTAAAAATTTATGGATATGATGTGCTGCTTCCTTTATATAGAAAAGATATTTTTGCACCACAAATCACGAACTTGTCAGATGTAAAAAAAATCAAACAATACCCCGGAACCCAAAAAAAAACACCCTTTTTTTTCTGGATTGGTGCAACGCGTCATGGGATTTCATTTGAAAATAACCCTTTTGTTGTTCACTACTTTTCTAAAAAACAACATTAAGGGCACTATATAGGGGAAAACAAACACTCATTCAAAAATCACTACAGAATGGTGAGTTCACTAGAAGGCACTACAGAATGGATTGATTTTGAACACAACCCCTGAAGTTGTCAACAATGGCCTTAGTGAACTCCTTCCACTCCCTTGAAGTTTAAGGGTGACAGTCCAGGTATTAAAATGACATTAAAAAAAAAAATCTTCCCTTTCTGTTTGTCAGCTTTCTTTGTCTTACCATCGGACAAGCAAGCCGTGCTCCAGAAAGTTCTTCAGGTTGGGTAGTGTTTGCTGCAGGTCTGGGGTCGTCAAGCCATGTTGATATCTTAGCTGAAATTTAAAAAAAACAAAAAACAAAACAACATATTAACCAAAAGCAACACATCACTGTGTTCTGACATGAACTCCCACCCACAGAGGGGGAACTGAGCACATTCCTTCACCTTGACACAGTTTTTCTCTTGACATCAGACTATTACTTTTCTGGATACACAATGGACATCGTGAGCTGATAACAGCCATATGGGGCACTGAGGGGAAGGTGTAGGGAGACACGGTTAAGATGTGGGTGGTTTTAAAAAAAAAACAAAAAAAGTCATCAGTGAACGGTGGTTCTGGTGCCACAATCTCCCAACAGTTGAGCATTGTCACATCAAACCATCACTTGCCCTGCCAAGTTTATTTGCTCTATATTACTGAGCAGGATAAGAGCATCATGTCACACATTCTGAATAAATCTCAGAGGCCCTTGTGTCTCACATGCACACATCCACAGGCCCACACACAAACACACACAGAAATGGACACACCCACTGTCTATTCCAGCTGACATCTGTTCTTTCCACTCCGGTGCCATAGTAATGCCCCTTCTCTTTACGTCCACACTAAAACAGATTGATCCTATCTAATGGGCTGCTTATTTGTGAGCGCCTAGCTTAGGGGCAAGATTCAAACAAGTCATCAGAGAGATATAAATAGATTCATAAATGCTTTTTTGGGGGGGTGGGGGTGTTGGTTAAGTGAACACACGGGAACTGCAAGGTCAAAAATCCATTATGGGATGCAGGTTAAAATAATAATAATAATAGTAATAATAATAATAATAGAAATAAGAAGAAGAAATATGAAGGTGTTTTCCCCCCCGAGTCGAATGCATTTGCTTGACACAAGTGAAATGAAGGTAACCAAAACATTAGCCAAAAAATAAAGTGCAATATTCGATGCTTAAAAAAAAAATCTAAACAATCCTCCTCTCTAAATTATTTTTTCCCCAATTGAGTTGCACAGGTTCAAATTCATGATTTGAAATGATTTATCTTGGTCTGATATTTTATATTAAAAAAACATGGTCTTTAAACAGGGTTGTGGACTTTTTAGATCCACTTTGAGTTCATGTGTCTGTATCAATGTGGTGGTATGTAGATTGTCCAAATCTGTTATATGAGATACGAAAGCTGGAGCCATGACAGCCCCAGACTATTTCAAAAGTGGCTCAGATCGTGAGAGCTGCACAAGAGAGTTGTTTCAAAGCCCAGCTGTTGAAGGAATGATCCAAAAGCTACCTGATCAACACAGAAACCATTCATATCTCAGTCTAACCCTTGGGGCCTGACCAGATGACAGCACAGTGTTGTCCACAGGGCCAACCTTAACACAATTAGGTTTTATTTAAAAAAAAACAAACCAAAAAACAAATATGAGCTAATTAAGTTTTCGAATGGTGTGAACTTAATTCAAATTTTTGAACTATGAACTATGAACTGAAGTCTGAACTAGTTCGTGTTGAAGATCAACTTTCCAAACACTTGATGTTGCTAAGGTGGAAATAGGCTGACCGGGTTATGTTATTTGATATGCTTATGGTATGATAGTGTGCCGTCTAGGACGACACCCAAACTCTTGACTTGAGGGGAAGGGGAAACTCGGGAGGGGTCAACAAAGATGGAGAAACTGCCAACTTTGGATAACATAATTTTTGAACAGGCCAGAAGAACTTCTGCTTTGTCACTGTTAAGCTTCATGAAGTTAGACATGAACCTGAAGTTGATTTCCGATAAACAGGAGGTGAGGGCGGAAGATGCTGGGTTTGCTGGAGAAATAGAGTGGAGTGTCATCTGCCAAGTAATGAAAGAAGATTTTCCTACAAAGATGCCAAATAGGGAGGAGGTCGATAATGAAAAGTACAGGGCCCGGGACAGAGCCTTGGGACACACCTAAAGTAGCTGGATGAGACTTGGATGAAAAAGACTACAGCTGGATGAAGTGAGTGCAGTCTTTGAGGCATGAATGGAACCAGTCTAGGGCGGTGTGGGCGATGCTGATGCAGGAGAGTCTATTGAGGAGGATGGTGTGTGAGATGGTGTCAAAGGCCACATTCAGGTCAAGGAGGATGAGGGTGGAAAGTAAACGGGAGTCAGCTGAAATGAGGATATCAGAGGTAATTTTCAATAGAGCTGTTTCCGTGCTCTGGACGGGACAAAAACCTGACGGAAAAGGCTCGTAAAGGCTGCTGTGTGTTAAATGGGAGAGGAGTTGAGTGGCGACTGATTTTTCTAGAACTTTTGAAATGACCCGCCACTGGGACACTGTTTCACTTTCCTCCAAACTCCCAAGCTTTAAACATTGAATAGAATTAATAGTTTGTAACCGTCAAAACCGAAATCAGAAAAATCTACGTGGAGGGGAACATATCCCACAAAATGCTCAGGATAATTCCACTTGAGACCACCGGTCATTTCTAGTTTCCCTTTCATTTATTTTGGTGATGAATGCGAGTGGAGTTCCTTTCATACATATCCATATGTGCACCTGAGTGTGCTTTCAAATTGCCCACAGGATTCTTTGTAATGGGGCTAACCAGATCGTGGTGAGAAATTCCATGTCCCATTGAGCAAAGCTGTAAGGTGAGAGGTTCTAGTTGGAGAGAGGGTGGAGTTTGGGGCTCCCACTGGCTCTTTCACACGATGACATATTGAAACAGATCTGTCCAGGTCTCCTCATGTTTGATCACATCTTTGCGTGTCTCAACACCTTCCCTGTTTGATTATTCAACGAATCTCACTCAGGGCTTTGGAGACTCTGCAACATGTGTGGTAGGCAATCAGTAGGTCTGACCGTGAAGGTTTGAATGAATAACGGGTCACATTTGACTCATCCGGATTACAAAGACATGTAACACAAAGACTTTGCAGTGTGTATTGTAGATTCCTACCAATCTGCTCACCACATATAAACACAATCTCAGTAGAAAAGAGCCAATCGTAAGCAGACACTTTACAGTACATGCCACCCACCCAATCTGCCTGTTTGCCATCAGCTCTGTATTTTAAACAATGACAGCCTGGCTTCTGCCACGTATGACTGTTTCCCTGAGTGCGTCACTATCAATCAACCCGAGATCCAAATGTGACTGTGGGCGAGCCGAAAGGAACGTTGAGATTAATTGCGAATGATGTGGTGAAACAGATGGGGCCCGCTAACAAAGCGTAATCTCGCATCTTCACTTGTGACGGACAAAAGGTCAATTCTTGGGTGAGATTTTCATGTTGCAAGTCACATGTCAGCAACTATCCTTCTGGTCAAGGGCCATTAGCGTTACCCAGACACGGCTCTTCATCCATATTCATGATGTGAGCTCCCAGAGACTATGACCTGCAATATTTCATCGCTGTAAAAAGCTTACATACCATTGCGTACAACCAAAGGCTCTGTGTGAAACCAAAAATGAAGAGTTGAAAGCTACAAATTCAAAGAAAAAGGATGCCATTGCCGTCAAGAATTCAACATATCGATTTCTTTCCCACATGAGACTATTGGTGCCAACCTTTCCTAGTGCATCCCTTTTGTTTTTCTATGCATACATTGAAAGTTTCATTTGATATGGAAAATAAAAAAAAAGATGATAGCATTTCTTTACATCAACCCTGCATGCGTTCTGATAACTCATATCACACAATGTTCCCATTTAGATCTATTTCAGACTGCAAAGACAGTCACAGTTTCACCTGCACTTGACCCGCCATGTGTGCAGTCTGACTGATGTCAAAACACAGCGCTGTGATGACAGCCTCCCCGGCTTTCCTCACTGTCAATGAATACTGCGAATATTTCAAAAAAGTGTATGTCCTGCAGCAATTTCCCTTTGTGAAAACCGGTACCATTCAAATTGGGGTACATCATCTCAATATGTGAACTTAAAAAAGCGGTGTATTGCTACTGAACCCGTGGACAGCTTATCAGGTTATCAGGTTCCAGGATATCGTTATTTGTGCATGAAAGGGTTAAAGTGGCCGCTTGAGTGAAACCTCCGATATTGCAACACAAGTTGTTGTTAAATAGTGTAGTGGAAAAGGCAATCAAATGTGGCAAATTGTTGAGGCCATGTGTTGTGTAAATGTTCCGTAAAGCTTAGATCAAGCTGCAACGGTTTTGAAAGCTCTACATAAATAAAGCTGTAGTGTATTGTATTGTATTCCTTTTAGTGAAGCTCCATCTAAGTGGGTGCATACGGCAACCGCAGCCACGATTGTAGCTTCTATTCTATGCGCCCTATATATGAAAACAGTTTTAAAATAGGCCATTGAAGGTGCTCCTTATACCCCCGAAGCGCCTATAGTGCGGAAAAATACAGTAAAAGTCATACCTAATGATGCAATTAAAAAGTTATCTTCAGCAGTAAAAAGTTAGTATTTTGTCTAGAATTAATTTGATAATTTCATTATTTTTCATGTTCAATGAAGCACTTTGAAAAACACATTTTGCCATTTTTTAAAGGTGCTAATTGGACAGGAAAAATAATGAAGTTATCAAATTCATTAAATACAAAATATTAATGTTTCCCAAAACCTTTCAAACTTGTCCATCTACGGCGGCCCGTTGAATTTATCGTCCATATTATGTTTTAAACCTCCCTCAAAAGATGAAATGCAATAGTCCGTGTGCATGCTGAAACTTTTGACATTTTCACCAAGCATGTAATAAAGCAATTTTTAAATATCCCTTACTCAAAACTCTTCTTCATTGCACTCAGTCCTTTAACACCCGTTGTTCTGCCCTTTTTTTTCTTCCTGTGGTAATGTAACACAGGTGTGGTGTATTCACTGAGCCTGTCTGAGTCAAATTCAAACCAGATTGTTCGCTTGCATATCTTGTTGCTACATTTTTAAAAAGCATCTTATTGCTGCCAAAGTCAGTCAGCAAATTTACATAATTTCGGGAAAGATTACGTGAGATCAATAGGAAATTCAGTAGGAGAGCACCGATGACATTAGTTAGGACGATCAGGGCTGCTGTCCTCATGAGTACTGTTCATAACGCGAGTGTTTTTTTCACAGCAAATCAACGGAGTCAACCGATTGGAAAAGTCACAATCATTCAAGGTTATGGTGACCTCTGGGTTATTACTCTCACCAAAGTGAGACATCGGCGCTGAGGCTACTGCAGTCAAGTAACCCGAAACCAACGTGGCCCGTGTGAAGTCACAACACTGAGGGCAACTTCCTGTTTGCAAAATTGGCATACCACACTATCATCAATCCTCCATGGCAGCCCTATGAACCCTAATGTCTCAATGAGGCACCCCTTTGAAAATATGCTAAACAAGTGCTCTGTAGTCTTAATTTCAAAGCGTGATGCTCTCCTCCTCGATGGAAGACACTTTTCTTTTTTAAACAAAAAAATCTAAATGGTAAATTATTGTTCAAAAATTGCACAGCAATGAAAGATCAATAAAAACTATCATTAAAAAAAAAAAAAAAACTCGAGGCTATTCCAACCAGACAGGGTCAGTCTGCAGTGAAAAATAATGAATTGGCCTTCGTGTTCCAATACTTTTTGGAGAGAAGTAGAAAAATGAAATTCCCATGTGGAATGTGAACCGCATTATTTGCTTGCAATCAGATAAGGAGAGGTCCTGTAATCTGTGATTTAGACTCGGGGATTCAAGATCAGAAAGTCCTCGGCCCCAGTTTGTTAAAGGCCTCTTAATATGTTTGCATTGGAAACAATGATGAGATTTTCTTCTTTCTTCCCAGCAAGCAGCATTCAGACACATAATAAAGCTGAACCACATTTACATAGCATGTCTTGCATATGTAATATAAGAAATGACATTTTTCCCAAACTACTGCAGCAAGTAAACAATGCAACTCATTTTTTAAGCAGCCCAAAAGCCACAGAAAGATCAAAATGAAGAAAAAAAAAAAGTTGTTCAAAAAAAAAAAAAAAAGTGGTTGAAAGCTCTTGCCCAGAACAACCAACAACCATGAAAATTTACGGCAATAGAGAGTAAAAATCGTCTTGGTAAAAAGATAGTTTTAACTGGAAATTTTAGAAAACCACTTAGATGACGAAATCCTTTTTTTTCTCCCCCTTTTCAGATGATTTCCCCAGCGCAAATGCAGTCTGATTTGTCAGATTTAACCCATTGCAGGACAGTGCAGGACATTTATTCAAACATTGCTTTCTTTATATAAAAGAAACTTTAAAAAATAAAGAAGTCTGAAAACTCCTGATCTACGTTTTCATAATTTGTGTATGAAAGGGCTTTCATTTTTCCCGTGGAAGAGTACAGAGCTGGTTAAGTTTCTCTTCACACATAAGCTGCATAGCCCGGATCAACGTTTGTGATCCCAATTCCATGGTGGTGGGCTTGGGGTACGAGGAGGCAAGCAGTCAGCAATATTTCAGGTTTTAAAAATCAGGATCCATTTACTGCTGTAATTTAAGACCGTACAGCATCACCCATGTAAAAGTGAGTCAAATGTGTGCGTATTTTTATTTTTTATGTGAGCTCCACTGGAAGATTTCCTCTTATTTTTCGAAAAATACATTTGGAAATTGCTTCTGTATCTTTAACATTACATATAAACACTTCAAAGATTAGTTCACTCCAAACTTTGTCTTGATATACTGTACGGTGTCTGGAGAGCCTTAGTTTGGGGGGTGTGGTAAACACAAAAGTGTATCGTGGGATGCGTTATGACAAGGTGGAATTATATTAAAGGAAACTGCGGACAGAACTGTGCACAGTTTTTCCCTTTCTTTTTCCACGCAATCTTTCTTTGGAATGTACGCGAGTCATGAAACACAAGACTCCGAGAGGGAAACCTGGAATAGTTCAATAGTCCAGAAAAATCCCGCTAAGGCTGTCAAGCCCCCACCTTTTCCTCTCAGAAGTAGTGAAAATGGTGATAAATGCTTCAGACATTCCAAGGTAGATCTCTCTTCCAGGAGCAATGCTTTAGGGATCAAATAGCACATTGTTGTGTTGTTTTCCACATACGTACACTATTCGGGTTCCTGGGAACAAATTCAAAGCTGTTTTCTACAGTTTCTGTCCAATTTATTGTCTATAACTGATAGCTTGTTTGAATATAACTAAAAACCGCTTCATCCGTCAGAGTCCATTGATCAGGTCAATATTTCTATGGTGCAGAAAAATCTAACACATCCACCTATTGTTCCCTCTTCCAAAAACAACTTCTTTTAAATGGAAAATTAAAATAAACAAAAGAACTTTCAACATCTCATCAAAAACATTTGGTCTTCCTTTTCAATCCACGATAAAAGCTATTTCAGCTTGTTTCCACATCCGACTCACCTCTTACCAGTCTTCCATATGAGTAATCGCCATTTTTATAGAGCCACAAATGCCACTCTTAATTGCAGATGGCGCACTGACGTCGGCACCAGACCACCAACACGGCCATCCGCCTGCATATCACCGTGCGAAATTGCCCAAAGAACGCGGAAGACTTTCCCCAGTAGACGGAAACAAAGACGAATCCCGAGCTGACCCGCTTAGCCGGCAACAGATTTTCTGTTTTCGTTCCCAGTACTTGGTTTCCTGCGCCTTAGGCCCACAAAATATAACCTAGCATGTTTAGTGACTGAAAACTGATTGAGCTCAGGCCATACTCCCGAAAAGCAGGATATTTTGTGTATCTCATCATTATCGCCTAAGCAGCCCCGCATGGCTATTTCACAACAATGTCGTTCACGATTAAGTGGAACAGGGAAGACCGAAAGTAACCATATGCTTCCAAGTAGAAGGCCGATGTTGCTGTTCACCTCCGAAGCCATGATGACTTGACAAATTTGTATGAGTAGAAGGGGCGGGTTTAAACGCTGTAAATTGTGAAGAGGAATCCCATTCTCTGTAAATAAATACATGAATAAAAAATACATTATAAAAATATGTGGTAAATAAGTGGTCAGATTTAAGCCAAAATAATCCTTACAGCTTTTCTCGTCTTTATATACAAATGAACCCAACGTGACATGTTAATAATACTTAAGTATCGCTGAATTTCAAAGAGTGAGAAATAGAGCAAAGCAGTGCTTTGTTGAAAAGTGAAACCAATCATTGATGGTGAATGGTGCAGGGAAACTGCTAGCCGTAATTAAAAAAAAAATTATCAATCAGAAATCATAGTTACGAGCCCATATAGTGGAAACTCACTTCTCGAACTAAAACAGGATGTTGAAAAGATAACAAAATGAACAAAGGCCATTTGCTCCTCCTCAAATGGCAAATTACAGATTCGGATACATTCAAATGTAAAAGTTCAGCTCAGGCACTTACTTGGCGAAGAACTCAACAAGGAACAACCACACACCACAACTTCCAACACTAACCCATTCACTTCTTACCATTGGGTCATGTACCACTCCTCCATGATTTATTTCAAGTTTCAAATGAACCTCCCGTAAAAGTCTTATGGCCCTTGAACAATTAAGCAAAAACTTCTAGCGAGAAGAAATAAAGCTCCGTGCCAGCTGGAATTTTTCCCATCAAGGCTCCAACACCACCGGAGCCACAAAACAATCAAGACTCTGACACGCCACAGAAAAATGACGTGAACTTGGTAAAAACGCTTGCTAAAAGTTTCGTTTGACCACTGATAGAAGGCACATGGGACAGTCTTGAGGAGTCAATAAAAAAAAAATGTTCACTGAAATCTTAAACAACACAATTTGTTGTGCTATATCAAGAGTTACTTTTTCATTTGATAAACCAACAACATTAATAAAGAAGGTTCAAAGGAATCTTGTAGAAAGACAGACTGACTTACAGACTCAGCAGATCGTTTTCACCTCTGTCCATAAAACCAATACAGATTCAAACTTGGGTCATTCTAAAACAGATGTCGACCATCATCTGTTTCACAGGTGGGTCCACATGTGGAGCAGATCACGTATTACCGTGATATTATGTGTGGAGCAACAATAACATATTTTGTTAATGCCATTGTTGTGTACAAAGCACAAACTTTAAGAGTGTTTTTTTTTTTTTTTTTTTAAGATGATTTACAACCCGAGACAGCTAAAATATGCTGAGTGCGCTCCCCCTGGGGACTCTCTCGTTCTGCTGGGGGGACTTTAGCGCTCATGCGGGCAATGACAATGAGATCTGGAATAGCGTCAAGTGTCCTGGTACCAAGTCCACATATAGCTGTAATGGGGTATATGTGCACTTGGTAACAGGACACCCTAAGTCGCAGTTCGAGGATCGACTTTATGATCATGTCATCGGATTTGGGGCTGCTTTTTTTTGGGACACTCGGGTGAAATGAGAGGCGGAGTTGTCAACTGAAAACGAACACAGAGTGTTGGCTCTGATGTTGTGACTAAAAGAACAAGATCCCTGGTCCAAGAATAATTTTCTTCTGCAAAGTCTCTGGGCTCTGCCTTAGAAATAGGGTAAAAGAAGCCCAGTCATCTGGGAGGGACTCAGAACTGAACCGATTTTCTTCTGCAAAGTCTCCGGGCTCTGCCTTAGAAATAGGGTAAAAGCCCAGTCATCTGGGAGGGACTCAGAACTGAACCGCTGCTCCTACATGTTGAGGGGAGCCAGATGAGGCGGCTCGGGCATCCGGTTAGGATCACTCACAGATGTCCCCATAGTGAGGTGTTTCCTGCCTACAGGACACCAACGAGAGATTGCCTCCCAGCTGGCCTGGGATTGACTTGGGATCCCTCCGGAAGAGTTGGAGGAAGTGGCTGGGGAGAGGCAAGTCTGGGCTTCCCTGCTAAAGCTACTGCCCCTGCGACCGACCCCGGATCAGTGGTGGTAATTCATCTCTCCTAATATTTTTGAAAGGTACTGCGAAGACCCACCTTTGTCAGTCAATTGATCAAAGTATTACATATGCTGTATATGTAGATTTTGTTTATTCTAAACGACATCCTGGGGAGAATTTATGCATTTCCACCGATAAAAAGGTTGATGTTTTCAAAGTTTCTCATGTGATTTGCACTCACTGCACTGGACGTGTGTTGATATTTCACCTGAGCAATGTTCTTGTTGAGCAAGTAGACACCATATTCAAAATGAAACCGCTCTCCTCGGGGATACAAAGGGAATCTGTGAATGACAGGAGAAAAAAAATACACGTTTGAAGACTTCAGCAACTTTTCAGCTGATTTATAGTATGCAAGAAAAGCTGACACACCTTCAAACAAATACTTGCAAGCCAAACAAGCATTGCCAATTTCACATTTATTACAACCGAATACTGTATAACCATTTGACATTCAACAATGTCGGCTAATTCTCCATTACAGGATTATTGCTTGTTTGTATTGCTTGCTCATTTTTACTTTGCAGGATTCAAAAGTATGTGGCTCTTTGGTGGTGCATTCTGCAAATAATTCATGTTGAAAGTTTCAGTTCATGTAGCCAGCAGCGCTTATGATGCAGAATCTTTGCAGATGTTTGAAGAAGCTGGCTCTGCAACTAGGAGCCTTCCACATTAATGCTACCCCAATACCCTGTTAAACTGAAAAATCAAACTGAAGGTGGAAGAGTCCAAACAACTTGATCATTCAGACCATTTCCAACAAATAGAAGCTTTCCTATCAATATAGTAGGAAAATCCCATTGCTGCCAGCCAGATGTTTCAGCCAGTCTGTACAAAGGGGTGCCTCTGAAGAATATGCTGACATTCATAGTTGGAAAACTGCCTTTGCTACCGGGAATTTCATGCTAGGGGCATCCTTTTCTGTTATTACATGCATATATCTCTAAATCTCGCTAAGCGGGGGTACGCTATAATGGGACACTGTGAAAGAAGCTCACACATGCACATGAACGTTTGCTTTTGAAAACTTGTCTACAGACAAATTTTTGTCCCATAGTCATAGGGAGCGGTGTGGTGGTGATGTGCTTCTAACGATAAATCACCTTCCTGTGATTGGTGCCGTACCATTTTCAAAAAGGTGCATTTTTGTGAAAAATCATAAAGAAGCTTTACACGATGCAACAGTTTGACAAAAGTGTAGTATTTTCAAAGGCGTCATTCGCACGTGTTCATGTATTCGCAGGCATGTGAGTGAACATGTGCCTCTACGTCTCCATATAAGCGGGCACTGTTGTAAGCCTCCTTTTCTGTGTGTCTGTGTCTTCCCCCCGGGGTTCAGGTCTTTTGTTAATCCACTGTGAGAGCAAGCGGAGGCGCTTTCTCCCCTTTTGAGATGACCTACAGCTGCCTGAGGCAGGAGGAGAGTCGGGAAGAAAATAAGTGGGACTTTACTGGACTCTTCTGTCTGTCAGGAGATCACGCTAATAGCAGTTTAAAGTTGCATTCCTAGCAAAGATATTCTGTTGTGTTATTTGGTTGTTTTATGTTTAATGTTCTGTTAAGCGCTTTGTTACAGCTGCTAAAGCGCTAAATAAAGAGGTATAAAAATTCAGATGTTCCTGCAGCTCGTGAATTGGTTGATTTATTCCACGCCATTTTAGAACTCATATTTTTGATGACAAGCATCTTTCAGCATTTTACCTTTCAAAGCAGTGCGATACTTAACTTTTGACATAAAATTTGTCACATTCAAAAGGGAATATGCTGTAGAAAAATTTACTTTTTTAAACTCATTCACTCCCAAAGACGTTTTTAAACGTCTTTTCAGACCTGGTCCAGAACTGGCTGGTACTGAATGAGTTAATTAATAGCTTGTATAAAGGTAGTCTGGAGTACCTGCTGCTGGCCTGTGAACTACGAAATTAAAACAACCAAGTAAACTTTTTTTTTTTACTTGCTTGGAACCAAAAATGGGCCCGAGTAAGCAGTTTTGTGACATCACAATTCACATTTTACAGATTATGGAATGTCTTTATAGCGCACTGATCGTAGTTTCTGGTGATATGATGAGTTACTTAGTTGTTGAGATACATGATGTTAATTCTAAGTTGCTGGCTTTGTAATGCGTTACAAATTTCAACACTGCGGGCAAAACACAAATAGGCTGAATGAATGTGGTGTTTTGCTCACGACGCGAGTGAAATGATCCGCGATGGCGTAACGCTCAGCGAATCATTGCTAATGTGACATGCCGTAATAATATTTAATGGCAATGTTTCTCAATTGAAATAGTGATATATATATATATATATATATATATATATATATGATCCCAGGAGCTAAGTTGTCTGGGACTTGATGCCCCTGGCAGGGTCACGCATGGCAAACAAGTCCGAGGTGAGGGACCAGACAAAGCAGGGCTCAAGAACCCTTTATGATGAATAAAATAAATGAAACTCAGTTTCCCTTGCCCGGACGCGGGTCACTGGTGCCCCCCTTTGGAGCCAGGCCTGGAGGTGGGGCTCGTTGGTGACCGCCTGGTGGCCGGGCCTACACCCATGGGGCCCGGCCGGGCTCCG